AAATGGCAAGTGCAAAGGAAACCTGCAGCCTCCTGTGAGTCACTTCCCTGCTGCCTGTGTCCGTGGGTGGGGGGACAATTCTTACCTCCCTTTCTGTAAACGTTGGTGACAAATGCAGAGACACTGGCCACACTGTTCCTACACATGACCAGCGAGAAAACCCCAGTAACAGGGGGCTTTAAATATTAATGGTTTTACCACTTTGGACCAGAATAAATAAAATACCTTTGGAAACTTTTTCAGAAGGATCCAAAGCAAAATGAAAGAAAAACGAAAGATTGTACACCTACAGTGACTGGAGAATTTGTTTTGCAATGAAATATTTGTTTGTATAGATGTGCCACTTTCTCCTGCAAGCCCTCTGCAGGGACCTTTGTTGTGGCCTACTCACGCTGGCAGACAGGAGCATCTCCACTCCACGAGAGACTTGTGCCAGAGATCTCACATGTTCTCTGGGAGCCTCCAACCAGCTTGTACCTGGAGTCACACAGAAGCAATTATTAATTTACATTAAGAGACTAGAGATTTCTTTATAAACCCCATAAGTGGCAGCCAAGAATTCTGACTTGGGAACTCAATTCCTTCATGTAAAGCTGAAAATCTGCCTCAGTCTCCCTTGGCAGCTGAACCCAGGTAGTCACAAGACTCACCCTGTGTCACAAGTGTAGTTCACTTTGGACCCAAAGAGGAGATCTGTCAGGACCACAGCTCTGCCATTCTTCGGATCCTCTGGGTTAGCACATTGTTTCCCTGGAAGGGAATTCCAGCCACCATCAGCCCAACACAGAGAGCAGACTGCACAGAGTAAAGAATCCCACGAAGCCTGAAAAAATCTGAAATCCAGCCAAGCCTGATGCTTCAGGTTTTTCAGCACTTGCAGGACGTACTTGTACAGAACTCCAGGGCTGCAGACCAGGTCCTGTTCCTGAGGCATGTGATGGTCTGTGGCATTCCCAGCCTCGGGGTGTACCCTGGCTGGCACACGTACTCCACTGTCCTCCCCTCAGGGAAGGTGGTCTGGTTCCTGTGCTGCTCCTTCAGCTCAGCAAACGCCAGCCTGGGGGGTGCATCACAGCCAGCTGCCAAGGAGGAGAAGCCAGCCCGGTTAAAGGAGTCAGGGAAAAGCAGATTTAAGGAGGCAGGGGGAAAATGAACCATCAAAGCACTGCTTGAACCCTTGCCTGGCTCGCAGGTTGGCACAGGTGGCTCCCAGGTGTTATTCAGCTGGCACTGTACCACGCTGTGGCCGTGCAGAACGTAGCCAGGCTCACACTCAAAGGCAGCTGTGTCCTTGTGTGTGTAGGCAGCCTTAGGAGACACCACCCTCCCGTGCTGCACCCGAGGGGTAGGACACCTTGCTTCTGGAAAAGAAGTGCAGGCCCTTGAGACAGGCACTTACACGGTGTGCAGAGCTGTGCAGCCGTGAGGCTGCTTCTGAGGCACAAGTCTGAAAATAATCACAGAATCCCAGCATGGCAGGGGTGGGAAGGGACCTCTGAGGATCATCTTGTGCGACCCTCTGCTCCAGCAGGGCACCCACAGCAGGGTTCCAAGGATGGTACCCAGGCAGGTTTGGGATCTCTCCAGAGCAGGAGACTCCACAGCCTCTCTGGGCAGCTGCTCCAGGCTCAGCCACCCTCACACCAAAGTTTTTCCTTGTGTTCAGACAAGCAGAATAATTTTCCCCACAAAAAAAAAAATATCCCTCCCACACCCAGTGTTGTCAAACGCTGAGAGACAGACCCAGGCTGAAAGGTGAGGCTGGGGCTGCTGGAGGCAGGGGGGTGATGCCCCAGGCTGAAAGGGCTGATGCCCCAGGGTGAAAGGTGAGGCTGGGGCTGCTGGAGGCAGGGGGGTGATGCCCCAGGCTGAAAGGGGTGATGCCCCAGGGTGAAAGGTGGGCAGCAGGGTGATGCCCCAGCCCCCTCCCTGGCCTGGCCTCAGCTGCAGATCCGCCCATGCGGGCGCTCGGCCGGGAAGCACAGGGGTCTGCAGCATCCCCAGTCTCTCTGAGCTGGAAGCAGGGGCGCAGGGGGACCAGCCTGGGCACCCCACCTCCGCAGCTTGGGGGGGCAGAGCTCCAGACGCCGTGCCAGCCGTCCCGGGAGGTGCAGTGGATGGAGGGCTCCCCGTGCAGAGGGTGCCCGGGGCTGCAGCTGTACGTCACGGAGATCCCAAAGTAGAAGTCATCCAGCAGCCTGCCCGTGTGCTTCCCGTTGGGAATGTCTGGAGGCGGCTCACAGGGGATACCTGTAGAGGGGCAGGGTCAATAAAGCTGCTAAATTCAACAGCAGCACCAAAATGCTTGAAATCCCTCGGTCTGTGGAGCATAAACATTTGTCCTGGAGAGGGAGTAACTGCAATGAAGTGACTGTCTATTGTAGTCAGATGGATCCCACCTCCCTGGCCAGTAATTTCTATAATAGTTATAAAGCAGACCAATAAGACAACCACCAATTTCTATGATAATTATAAAGCAGACCAAAAAGACAACCAGCAGTTTCTGATAGTTATAAAGCAGACCAATAAGACTCTGTGGAGGAAACACCCACCTGCTTTCTTTTCTACTCTTTAAGAAATTAAAAAAAAAAAGCAAACCTTTATCTGCATTACCTGCGTAAAATCCTGGTTTTGACATCAAAACTTCCTGTTGTTTTTCATGCCCACAGAACAGAGAAATTCCCCATGAAAGTTTTGATTGGAAACATTTGGCAATCTCTGCTGGAAAATACATTTCCCACGTCCACACAAACCCCCAGAGCCGTAAGCGACTCACGCTGACAAGTGGGGATGTCACCACTCCATGCAACACGTCCTCCAGAGAGCTCACAGCGTCTGCTGGGCTGTCCAATCAGCCTGTACCTGGTGTAGAAGGATGGGACACTCACCCCAGGTCCAGTCAGGCTGTTCCTCCCTCCCCCTGCCCACCCCGGGACAGCCAAGCCGTGGCCCTGGAGGGGAGGTTCCCTTCCAGGTACAGGACTCTGTGCAGTGGCTTCTGTAGAAACTCTTTATTGGGAGCGACTGGGAGTTATTGAACAGGAGGAAAAAAGGGAGACTTACCTAAAGCTCCTCTCCTTGCTGCTTTCAGCAGTAGCCAAACCCAGGACTTACCCTTCCTCGCAGCCGTAGGACACAGTTGACCCAAACAGCAGATCTGTTAGGGAAAGGATCTTCCCATTCTCAGGTTCACCAGGATGATTACATTTTTTCCCTGGGGGAAGGAAAAAAACCCTTATGTTAGGCTTCTGTCTGACTACACCAGGGTACAACAGATGCAACTATTACTCCAGTCATCTGTCCACATTTCCAGTTACCCCCCAAATGGGTTTCGAATAGCATAAAAGTTCCATGGCTTTACTAGTCACATACTGTTGGGACACCAGAACAACATGAAGGATTTTGCAGCACAGACAGAACCTGGCACCTATCCCTCCTTGAGCAACGGACACCAAATCAAGGAGCTATTCACTTTTACAGAACTCTAGTGCTTCTGACCACACTCCACTCTCAAGGCATGTAATAGTAGGTGACATTCCTGGCTGTTTAGCATATCCAGGTCGGCAAGTGTATTGCACAGTCTTCCCAACAGAAAAATCCATCTCATTTCTGTGCTTCTCATTTAGCTCAGCAAAGTGTAACCTTGTAGGAGCACCACAACCACCTATTGAGAAAGAAAACAGACATGAGAGTCAGGCAGGACAGGCATGTTGGGTGTGAGTATGGGAAGAAAGCTGCTGTGAGGAAAGCTGCTTGGTTAGCCTTGCAACATTTTTATTTTAATTATTCATCTAGCCATTATTAAACAAACACACAACATCTTCCCAAAGGGATCCAGAGGATGAGGTTCTTATTCCCAGGATATTCTTAAAACTTCCACTCACAGGGTTTAACCACATTTTTTGAATGGGATGAGGGGGCAGAGGTGAACAGTGTTGTTGTGTCAGGATTTACCTGAGCGTGCAGGCCTGTCTGAGAACTGCTGGTCACGGGGCAGCCTGTCGCAGGTGGGCACAGGAGGGTGCCAGCTGCCATCCTCCTGGCAGAAGATTTTAGCACTGCCCTGCAGGCTGTAACCGCTGTGACACTGGAATGTCACCCCTTGCCCAGGGGCAGAGATAAGTGCTTGACCATCAACTTGCCTTCCATGCTGTATGTCTGGATTTGTGCACACAGTCACTGGAGA